ATCCCAGACCTAAATCTATGGAAACACGGATTGAAAGTAAGAATCTGGAGAAGATGCAAAAAACAGAAAAAATGAAGTTTTAGAAACAAGAATTGAGATAGGCTATCAAGAACGTGAAGAATACAAGAGTATATGGCCAAGAACAGTGGCAAAAGTGTAAAGATGTGGTGAAACAGTGCGTGTGTTCAAAATGTGGGCAAAGGCAAAATCATGGATGAATGCGTTCAGATGTACGATTTATAAATTAAAAAAAGCTTGAAACAGTACAGTAATGGCGACAGCAAAAGAAGAAGAAACATCAAGGAACTGAAAACGAAAGGAACAGTAGCTTACCAGAAAAGGGAAGCCGGAAAGGGATTTGCCGATGTCCTACGACGATTTTAGGAGCAGAAGACCGATGGAAATCTTGCCGGAAGGGGTGAACGGAGGAGGTTGCAGGGCTTTGGAAGCTTGAGCGATGGAGGATTTCAAAAGCTAGAGAGAGAGAGCAGGAGATTCGAATGAAAAAATGAAGAGGTGGAAAAAAGGGAAAAAAGTTTTTGATTAAACAAAGACGGCGGCAAAAGCAATCAATACGTCTAGAAAAACGAGGGTGTCAGACGACGCACATGAAGAAAGAGACAACTAACAGGCGTGTCACATGTACGGCCAGTAGGAGGGAAACGCGTGGCTAAAACAGTTGGGTTGAAGTGCATGACAGCTCATGCGCGTAAGAGTTCCTTAAAAATCTTGATTTTTTAGGGAAAGCATGTCGGCCTGAAATGAAAGATCTCGGCTGTCAAATTTTAAGCCAATTTACTGGAAGAAAATACAGATATAGGTTCCATCACCTCAGAATGTCAAGGTAATAAAACCTAGGGGGCAGTTGTGGGGATGTATTTTCTGAATACCAACACGTGGCAAGGTGACGCCGACGTGTCAGCCAAAGTGCCACATGTCCGGGTTATGACGCCGAGGTTATCTCAGCAAGGCCGAGGTTATCTCCGAGGATATCGGAATCCGAGATAAGCGGATAAGGGATAAGGGATAAGGGACAAGAGTCCTAGAGTAAAGTGGAGACTTAGCCAAGATAAGGATAAAACTCTTAGGGAGTTTATCTTTATCTCTTGAGGAGTCCAAAGTAAGTACAGAACAGGAATTCATAGAAGTCAGGCTTCTAGTGGGATTAGGATTGAGTTGGCTATAAAAGTGAGGCACCCCCGTGGGTCTAAGGTACGCAGTTTTATGCTTTGAGTAGTAAGTTTAACACTTGATTATCTTTGAGAGATATACTGACTTGATCGTCGGAGTGCCCCCGGGTGGAAGAACCACCGCCGGAGACTTTTCTTTCTGTTGCAGGTTAGCTGAAACCATCTATTCTGCCGGTGCTCTCCAGCTGATTACTAGGCGGGTAGTGTGGTCAGAAAATCACCCACACACTTTTAATTTTGTTTAATATTCATGCAAAAAATCAAGATGATTGAATATAGATAGCTATATGTTTGAATCAAATTTGTATTATAAAAAATAGATGGTTATTATTAAAAATTATATTTGTCATCCATTTTTTTAAAAAAACAAATATGATTTAAATATATAACTACCGATGTCCAATTGTTTTGTTTTTTCATAAATATTTTACTCAACGAGTCCTATAAAGTGACTATTCATATCACCAATTCGATCATAAAATGAACTTACCAAATCCAAAACGCTCTATTAAGTTGAGATACCAACTTGAGAGAAACAAAACCCTACCAATAAATACTATATTATAGACTTTTTAGGATCTAACTCAAGATATCACCCATTTGTGCTAAGTTATTTTTTTTAAAGCTAGTTGTATGTTAATTATAAATTGTGAACATTCACATTGTATTTTGGTATGAATTTAATTTTTTTGAAAGTTAGTTGTATGTTTGTTGTTTATTATGAACATTCACACTGTACTTTAGTATGTGTTTTGTTTTTTTAAAAGTTAGTTCTATGTTTGTTATTTACTGTGAACATTCACATTGTATTTTGATTTTTATTCAGATCTTTTGTTGCTTTATTTTTAAAATTTTAAAATTATAAAAAAGTTCATAATTTGTAATTTGAAATTTTCTCCATGGAATATGAGAGAGATTTTCTCCTTAGAATAAAGGATAGATTTTCTCCATAGAATATGGAAAATTTTCTCTTTAGAATGAATGAGAGATTTTCTCCATAAAATTATGGGAGTAAATTTGGGCCGGTCTGGCCCATGTCAGGTCTCGCGGCCTCTCGCCAAAATTCGGGCCGGCCCAAGGGCCAGGAAATTAGGCCCAGTGGTATTCGGGCCTTGGGTGGGCCGAGCAGGCTTGGGCCTGGGCTTGGGCTCGGGCTGGGGCAGGCCTGAACAAATTTTTTTGGTTTTTTTATTTTTTCTATCAAAATTTTATTATTTTCCATTAAAAAAAACACAGGGCCTCAAGTCGGGCCTTGAGTGGGCCTTAAGCGGGCCGATGAGCCGGGCTTCAAAATGATGGCCAAGGCCTAGGCCCAGGCCCAGGGTCTCGGGCTAGGCCCGGGCCCAAACGGGCCTAAACGGACCGAGCCCACCCCAGGACGCGGGCTGGTTTTGGCCTGCCCACAGGCTGCGAACCATTTTTACACTCTTACATAAAATGAGAGACTATTGTTATGTATTAGTTTCAAAATAGAACATGTGTAAAAAGTTAAAATGAATGATTTGGTCATATTACATTAAACATGACTAATGAAATACTCAAAAAGAATATGAATTAGATGGAATAAAACACTTAGAAAGAGAATTTATCAAAAAATAACCCTTAAAAAAATGAATAATATTTTGGAAAAATATATTTTTATAATTTTAAATTATATAATACTAAAATTAAATTTAGAATTTCCTTTTAAGGATTTTCAAATATAAAATTAGATTTGGCTTGGTTAAATTTATTTATTTAACTTTCTATATATAAATATTTTTTTAAAAATTTAAAATTATTGATACGGTTAAATCTGCCAATAATTTTAAGGGTATTTTTTTAAGGTCCCTGATATTAAATCTGCCAATGCGCTAACTTCCTAGAGGCCATCATTAGTGCCAAGGTACGTTTCTCGAGCGTCAAGTATCTTGATTCTGTTGGGAGCAAGGTCTTGCTTACATAGAAGATTGGCAGATGTTGTATGCTTTTCGCCCTAACAAGCACTGCACTGACGGCATGTTGTGAAACGACCAGATAGAGATAGAGTTCCTTGCCCTACCTCGGCGTGACAAGGAGTGGAGCGGAGGATAGGTATGTCTTTAGTTTGGTCAATGCTCTATCACATTCTTCATCTCATGAAAACTTTGATTAGAGGGCTTGGAAGAAAGGGCGGCAACGATCTAATGACCGACTTATAAATCTGTTAAGCACGATTGCCACCCCGGCAAGATGTTGCACATCCTTTGCTGAGTTGGGCTGCTTCAATTCTTGTATGGCTTTAATTTGAGAGGGATTTGCCTCAATTCCACAGTTAGAGACCAAAAAACCCAAGAACTTTCTCGACCCCACGCCCAAAGGCACACTTTGATGCATTCAACTTGTGTCACTTGAGAATAGCGAACATCTTCGTCAAATCAGCTAGGCGGTCAGCCTCACATTTGCTCTTGATAACCATGTCGTCGATATATGCTTCCATTGTTCGGCCAAGCAAGGGAGCGAACATCTTGGTAACCATCCTCTGAAAAGTTGCCCCAGCGTTTTTTAACCCGAAAGGCATAACTTGATAACAGAATAACCCCCTTAGGGTCTTGAAGGAAGTGACTTCTTGGTCAGGCTCATGCATGGCAATTTGGTGGTAGTCGCAGTAGGCATCTAAGAAACTAAGTCGACTGTGCCCAGCAGTGAGATCTACTAGTTGGTCGATTTGGGGCAAGGGGAAACTGTCTTTAGGGCAAGCACGATTGACCATCTTGTAGTCGATACAAACTCGTCATTTCCCATTCTTCTTTGGCACGATGACGGTGTTAGAGATCCACCACAGGTAGTGCACTTCTCGAATCGTTCTGGCTTCCAACAGATTCTTCACTTCTTCAGTCACTACCTCGGCATAATGAAGCGCCGATCTCCATGTTCCTTGAATGACTGGTGGGGCATCGGGGAAAACATTGAGTTGGTAGTAAATAAAGTTTCGATCGACCCCAAGCATGTTATAAGGCGTCCATGCAAACACTTCAGTGTTCGCCACCAAGAAGTTCACTATCTCTAGTCATTCACGGGAGGACAAGGTTGACCCCAGTAGAAAGAATTTCTCCAGATCATTTTCATTGATCTGTACCTCCACCAGGTCTTTGATAGCCTTTTCTTCGGCTTTTTTTCCTACATCATCAAGGGTGCTTTGATTTTCTGGCCCTTCGATCATCTGTACAAAACCTTTGGCAGCTCGGGTTCCGTTTACGGCCACGAAACATTGATTGGCCAGAACGTGCTTGTCCCATACTTCTTCAATCATCCCAGAATCAGAGGGAAACCTCATTACCTGGTGGTGTGTTGACGCCACCGCTTTCAAGGCATGAAGCCATCCTTTGCCCAGGATTAAGTTATATGTCGAGGGCACCTTCAACACCCAAAACTCGACTTGTTTCACAACCGATCCTGCCTTGACCGGTAGGATTATCTTCCCAACCGACCACTCTCGTTATGAGTTGAAGCCAACCAGTGGCGAGGTCGCTGGGGCTAAATCTTTGTCTTCCAGCTTGAGTTGCTTGAAAGTGTCATAATAAATTATTTCAACTGAGCTTCCCTGGCCGATTAAAATGGGTTTGATGTCGAAGTCCTTCATTCGGAGCATGACCACCAACGCATCATTGTGTGGGGTTTGAATTCGGTCTAGATCCCTGCTTGAGAAACTGAGGACATTTGTTGCCTGGGTTTTGCCTTTCTTCACGACCGACTGGACAGAGAAGACTTCCTTCATATGCTCAGCTTTCTTGATCATCCCTTAGAGATAGGATACCCGTGCCGGCTCTACGATCCCATGGATTACATTGATTACGCCTTGGGGGGTGCATCAAAGGTGGCCAAGCCATTTGGCTTGGCTTGAGCTTGAGGCGTAGCCTTGACGCCTTTATTAATGTAACGGTCGTGGTGGTCAGTTGCCACTAACTCCTCCAAGTGTTGTTTCAAAGGTCTACAGTCCTCAATGCGGTGGTCACACTCATCATGGTAGGTGCAACGATACCTCGGATTGAAGCCTCTTTGTGCATTGCCTAACTTAGCCAGCCACCGGACGTATGCCTCGTCACAGATCTTGCTAAGTATGCGGTTGATTGGGATTTTGAAAGCCGAGGTGATACCTGTTCGGGCGTTCAACTTTTGTTTTGTGTCTTCTATAACATCGCGAGGGTAGTTAGCTTGGTCGTTGTTCTGACCCTTACCCCGACTATTATAATCAGCGCCACAGAAATATTCTCTCTTGCGCTTGTTCAGACGGTTTACTTCATGTCTGATCGTGTGAACCTTTTCGGTCATCTTTTTGTCCACTGCCACCGAATTCACCTTTGTGGTAGCTATGGTTGCATCATCCTCAACTCGGATGTGCTCATTGATGCGTTGCATTAGCAACTCCATGGTCAGTAGCTGACTCATGGTGAGCGAGTCTCGCAGTCTATGTCCGACTAGGAGACCGCACTTGTATTGGGTGATTGCTAGGTTGGTCGGGCAGTCAAGAATCTCGTTGAATGTTTCCCAATACTTGGTGTTGTATGCCTTGAGTGAGTCACCCGGTTCCATCTTGATGCCCAGAAGGTGGTCAACTTCCTTGTGTGTTTTGGTATTGGTCTTGAATTGCGTCATGAATGCCCCCGCCAGCTGCTACCACTGCTTGATACTTTCCTACCACATCAATGCGTTTTTTCGTCCGTAGCCAACCATAACTTGCTGGAAGTTGCTCGTGTGTATGTACGGATTAGTCTTTCCATCGTACAGTGTGAATTTGGGTTGGTGGAAGCCAGCGAAGAGTAGTGTGGTTTCTATCTCAAGAGCGAAAGAGATGGCGCTCAGCCTTGCCAAGTTCTTATCCAATGGCATGTGCGTAGTGAGGCGTGGCAGCGGCATTACGACCTCTTCGCTGGCGCGACCTCCGTGGGATAGCCGCTGCAATGCTGGCACTCTTTGCGCCTCCCGCCGGCGCGCTCGTTCTTGCAAGACGTCTATCAAGTCCTCTGAACAGGTTGAGTAAGAGTATCTCGACGTCGTCGACAGATGTGAAGGATAGTAGCTGTTATCTTGTGCGCAGGACTTCTCCGTCGGTGAGTTAGAATCACCAACCCCATAACTTCTGGTGATAGAGAGGGAGAGCGTCCTCCATTAGTTCGAGCTGCCAGAAAAACAGGGTGGGATGTGCTCATTGTGGTTTCCCACTCCAGCAACACCCTTTCCCCTTAACTTGTCGCTTCAACGCCTCTATCTCAGCAGCCATCCTCTAGATGATGGCGTCTTAGTCATTCAGTTTGTGCTTCAAGTGTTGAGCGTGCGACTCTTTTCGCCGTTGGTGCCCTTTAGGGTTCCGTGAATGATCAGTACTCTTCACATGTTTGTTTCACATATCTTTGGGTTGCCCTCCAAAGGAGGTCTCCAGACCTGCCATGGTCGGAATGGCGGGAGGGCCATCTCTCATTCGGATTAACTCTGGAGTGATACCATCGACGACAGATAGTGGTGTTTTGTGGTTGTTCGCCATGAAAAATGATCGAAAAAGCTTGGACGACAAGGTTTTGTCTGTCAAAGATTCCCACAGACAGTGCCAATTGTACGGGGAGCAAATATTCGTTACTTTCTGTACTCCTTGTGTCCAAGCTTCGTTTATTTCCGAATGACCTGAGAACATAAAGACGGTGAGCTACCTGGCAGTGTGCAACTGGAAAACCCCTCCGACGGACAAGTTAGCACACTTAAAAAGAAGAAGGAAAGAAAGAAAAAAGAGACAAAGGGGTAGGTAGCTCTAACAACCAGAAGTGCCAGACTTGTGCATGGAGGCTCAACATCGTACATATAGTTTCTGCGCGCTCCTCTCTGTTTGTCTTCCTCCTGACGCATAGATATGTTCCCCACTTATCTTCTTCCACGTGTAGGTGTAAATACTGCCAAACAACAAATGGTGAAACCACCTAACGGTATTGACGTGTACGGATGACGAAATCTCTTTCCTGTAATCCAATCCTACCACGTAGCACTTCTTACCGAGCTTTGCCTAGCACAACGCCACAATCTTCCCTCGAGATTGCGCTAACTACCCGGTCTTGTCAGGCAAACCTGAGCACGGGTTCAATCGAGCTCTTCAGTTTATAACGAGCTCCTACTCAGTCGAACATATTCTTCCAAAGATAAATTCCAGCCAACTCTCGAACTCGATCGGGTGAAGATCTTGGTCCCATACATCTCCAGCGTTTGACCGTGTTAAGACCATGGTCGAGCACATGGACTCATCTCATCCGAGTAAAGGCCTTGACCGAAGCCCAAACTAGCTCGACCCATATCTGGCCACAAATCTCCCTCTTAATATATATATTTTGTGTGTGTTTTACTTTATCAAGCAAATTATGAGATCTTTCTAAACATTTTCTCTTGCAATTAATGTGACAGAAGTCAAAGCTTTGTATGAGCTGTTCAGGAAACTAAGCAGTTCTGTTGTTGATGACGGTTTTATTAGCAAGGTACACATATAAATCGATGATGTTGATTAACAACTTTGCAATATATATATAATTGCAAATTGAGTTATGAAAGTGTAAATGTAATAATGAACTCAATCTTGATTTAAATCTTTGAAATTTGCGTTTCGCAATTTGCAAGAAGAGTTTCAACTAGGATTATATTCAGGAATAGCAAAACACAATCCCTTTTTGCAAATAGGGTCAGCATCCTCAATATTGTGCTTTTAAAATGGATTTTTTTAATTTTAAATTTTATTTTTATTTTTTTATTTTTTGGTGTGTAGAATATTAATAATTCTTTTGCTTGCTAATATTTTGGTTGATAGATCTTGTGTGAGTCGATTTCTGACTACACTGCCAAACAGGTACTAAGCTGGAGAACACCGGCAGAATAGATTGCCCGAATGACCTGTCACAGAAAAGAAGAGATTTCGGCGGTGGTTCGTTCACCCGGGGGCACTCCGACGATCAAGTCAGTTATCTCTTAAAGATAGCAAAAATGCTTAATTCACTATTCAGAGCATAAAAAACATACCATCGACCCACGAGGGTGCCTCTCTTTTATAGGCAACACTGACCTAGTCCCAATAGAAGCCTAGCTTCAATGGACTTAGGATTACTGCTAATCTTGGACTCCCGGTAGGATTAGGATAAACTCTCTAAGAGTCTTTTCTTTACCCAAACTGAAATCTTCTCCCATTCTAGGACCCTCGTCCCTTATCCTTTTATCCCGAATTCCCGTATTCTCGCAGATAACCTTGGCCTAGCTGAGATCATCTCGGCATCATGACCAGGACACGTGGCACCCTAGTTGGCACTTCGGTGACACCTCGGCCACGTGTCATCATTCAAAATTTATGTCCCCACAGATCTTCAAATTGTTAAATGATGGGTTGCTTGAATTTGGCCAGTTTGTTCGGTCTTTGAGCATCTTCCACCCCTATGCACAAAAAGTTGCTTGTATTAAATTCTTATCAATTCATCTGTGCAATGTATAAATGTCTATTTGCTTCCAAAAACAAGAAAAATGTTTTCTAAAAGCTTTTACATCTGATGCTGCAGTTACGTTTCAACTATATGATATATCAGAGAAGAGCTATATTCACCACAAGCAGGTAAACAGTGAAACCCATGTTCAAAATTATTTATTTGTTTATATTTTTTTTTATTCACATGGCAATGGAACAAATGGATTTTTCAATAAATTTTCTTTCAACCAAGTGACTCTCTAATGTGTCCAGAAAAAATATACAAAAAAACTTGTTCAGAATGATATGGAAATTTTGTTGACATTTCACTTTAAAAAAAAAATTAGCCAGCAAGTTGACTATTAATTACAAAAATGCCAACGCCACATCATTTGACATATTATGTATAAATCTTTTTGTAAGAATAGTTTTTTCCTATATTAGATGCATCATATGAAATTAATATATAGCAGATCATTCAATTTGTATCATCTGATTGAACATGTTGAACTAATTAATCTTTAAAAAAAAAGGGGGTGAAGGAGATGATTTTGGCACTTCTAAACGAGTCTGATTTGATCCTCTGCAATGACATTGTTGAAGTCATTGTCAATAAGGTAATGAACTACTTGCTTTCTTGCTGGTGTACATTGTTTACTGTGGTACACTCATGCAAAGATTTTGAGATTAACTTAGACCAATTTCTGCATCTATATAAAGACATTAGAGGACGCAGATTTGAAAGGAGACGGCAAGATTGATATGGAGGAGTGAAATGATTTGTGGCGCGGAATCCATCATTGCTGAAGAACATGACAATTCCATATTTGAAGTATGTAATTCTCTTTTATCATATCATCTTAAACATAAAATTAAACCTTATTATTCACAAAAAGAAAGTGGTTTGAAATTTTCTTTTTCTCTGTTATTTGGGAAATTTTTGCCTTTTTAGACTAACAAGAATTGAAGTTAATTATGGTTGTAATTTGATTCAACTCTTTCACAGTGAGTGACTGCTAAACTGACAATTTGGATGGGTTCGCGCGGCTAAAGGTAGAAGCATCTTCTCAAGTTCTGCCCGAACCTAGCCTCTATTCCAAACTTGCTTGTTGAAGTCGGAGTTTGAGTTTACCTTTAAAAATTCAGACAAGGTTTGGGCTGTCCAAATTCAACACAAAAAAATATATCTTCGATTGTCATTAAAAAAATTGCAGACATAGAACATAATAACAAAATTGATTTGCATTATATGTATTAAGTGTGGGGATATATTTTCTGAATACCAACACGTGGCATGGTGACGCCGACGTGTCAGCCGAGGTGCCACGTGCCCTGGTAGTTAAGCCGAGGTAATCTCGGAGAAGCCGAGGTCATCTCCGAAGATATCGGAATCCGAGATAAGGGGCAAGAGTCCTAAGATGAAGATGGGACTTAACCAAGATAAGGATAAAGCTCTTAGGGAGTTTATCTTTATCTCTTAAAGAGTCCAGAGTAAACAGTGAATTAAAGTTCATGGAAGTCATACTTCTAGTGGGACTTGGATTGGGTATATTATAAAAGAGAGGCACCCCCGTGGGTCTAAGGTATGTAATTTATATTCTGAGTATTCAGTTTAGTACTTGATTATCTTTGAGAGATATACTGACCTGATCGTCGGAGTGCCCCCGGGTGGAAGAACCACCGCCGGAGCTTTTTCTTTCTGTTTCAGGTTGCTTAAGCCATCTATTCTGCTTGTGCTCTCCAGCTGATCACTAAACGGGCAGTGTGGTCAGATTTTCACCCACACATTAAGCAATAGAATATATAAAGGGGATTTTGGCCGTAGCCCCCTCTTCACAAAAACTTACTGCAAAAAGGACACGAAAATTGTTTGTTCTACAGGAAGAGGTCCTTTTGTTAAACAAATGGAAGTTGGATGACATAAATACCCTTATCTATGTATAATGACTTCAAGTTACAGGTGTAACACAACTTTGGATTCAAAACTATTTTGAAACTTTAAAATTTCATAATTCTTTATATAAATGTGTAATTTTAATAAAATTGATATTTTTAGAATCTTTTCATTGAGATCTATCAAATAAGATCCATGTTGGATATGAAATTCAAAAAAAAATTATAGTAAAATTTTACTGACTAAATTTTAGTATTTAAATATTAAAATTTTATCATCATTACTAAACACTATACTTACTACAACAATTATGCAAAAGATTTACAGTGACTTACTAGAAAAATTTATTAAACTATCAAACCTGAGATCTCCAATTTCAAATTTGTTTGGACCACAGTAAAATTTTACTGTCTGAAAAAACAGAGCATTGTGAGAAGGAGAAGAAGAAATATATATATATATATATAGAGAGAGAGAGAGAGCACAGATTTGAGGTAACTTATTTCATATCTGAGGTCGTCTGTTTCAGATCTAAGATCTCCAATCTCAAAAATTTGTTCGAATCAGAGTAAAATATTACTGTCCTAAAAACAGAACATGAGGAAAAGAAGAGAGAGAGAGAGAGTGGATTTAAGGTGATTGATCATTGATCTGAGGTCGTTGATCTCAGATCTAAGGTTGTGAAGGCAAATAGTGAATATGGTGGTTACTGATGGTAGATCTAACATGGTGGCATCAGTGACAAACCACAGAGGTGATGAGAACGGTGGTGGAGATGTTGGAAAGAGAGTTCCATGATAAGCGATGATGGAAGTGGAGACAGTAGAGAGAACTCAACAATGGGCTAGTGGTTGTACAGATAGTGGAAAGAGTTGTTAGAGATGGAGAGAGATTTTGAGAGAAAATGAGAGGTTGTAGAAAATTAATGAGTTGTGAGCAAAAATATCCAAACGATTTTTAATTTGTCTTTTTCACAACATTAATATGAGATGAAGGATATTAGACATTAAAATGTTGGGAGACTTATTTATAAGTCCTTTTTCAGACACTTATGCTAGGCTAAGTCTTGTGTAATTTCTTATAGAGTCTCAAGTCCTATTTAGATATGAATATATTCCACAAGATCGTACATAAACGTAACGTGACGTGACACTTATATAAACGTAACGTAACGTGACACTTACATAAATGTAACGTAACGTGACACCTATATAAACGTAACGTGACACCTACACGTAACGTGACACCTACATAAACGTAATGTAACGTGTCACATTACGTTTCACAAATTTAATGAGTTTTTATTTTTTTAAATTGAATGTGAAAATGTTGTTGGTTTATGTTGGTGTCACACTACGTTTCATATAAATATGATCTATGGCAACATTCAATTCCTATATAGGAAATTGAATGTTGCCATAGATCATAGGTGTCATGTTACGTTTATGTAGGTGTCACGTTACGTACAGGTGTCACGTTACGTTTATGTAGGTGTCACGTTACGTTACATTTATATAGATATGATCTATGGTAACATTCAATTTCCAATATGTGGTTTTACTATTATTTATGATATTAACAACTAATATTGAGGGTAAATGTGTCAACAAACTTCTCATAGGATTTATGGGAACATAATATGTAGCGTAAGTCTCCCTAATAGGACTTATAAATAATTTTCCCTAAAATGTTTTAACTTAATTGCACTTTTCACAAGATGTAATCCATTTGAGGGACTTTTAGAAAAAAAAATTTCCATAAATAATCAAATATTAAATATAGGATGAACTTGGATTATTACTTGATTTGTTCAAATTACACCCCTATAACTTGGTCAATCTAGAAGTGTCACAAGAAAAACCAAGGAATTTAAAAAACCCAATCAAAGCTCAAAACTCCAATAAGAAGAAATATTCTAATTTTTAGTTTTCATCCAAATTCATATCCTCTCACATCATACAACTGGCCTTCAGGTTATGTTTGTTTAGACAAATATAATCTTGTGATTGAATTAATAATTCTACAAAATACATATTTTGATGTTTGGCGAAAAAAATTAAAGTTCGAAGGAATTAGTTAAATTATAAAATTTTGTGAATCTCTCATAATAATTCTAAGCGAATCCAACATGAAATATGATAATACAATTTTAAAAAATTAATAATCTTAGAGCTAATAATCCTAACACATGTCAATCCATTTAATGTAATCTGTCTTAACAAACATGGCTTAATTGTATTAACATATATTTATGTGGTATTCACTGTGCTGAGATCAGAAATTGAAGATGATATTAATAACTACCTTTAGAAAGAATAGACCTATCAATTATCATCAAAGTGAAGTTTGTATCTTTATTTGCCACTAGTTAACTTGTTTGGTGCTATTTACGGGGTCTGTTATAACTTTGGTGCTATTTTATGGGGTCTGTTATAATTTAATTTTAGAAATTGAAATATAAAAATCTTCAATTCCACCTCACATAAAGGACAAAGCAAATAAGCAATCCTTTTATTTATGGTGACCTTATTCATTGACTTATTCACAAGGGAAAAACACGAGACATTGAACAGTTTTCTTGAAGAAAGAAAAAAGTTGAATAACATTTGAATGTCTAATAGAAGGTGGTTTGGTATTGGTTAATATAGTCAATTTTTTTGTGTTAAGATTTTTTTAATTTTGTTTGGTTTGGATTTTTTGACTTTTGTGAGAAAAAAAAGGTAATGAATATGGATTAAATGTGATATTTTATCTTATTAACTTATTTAGTCTATTTTGTCATTTTGTACTTTTTTTAACTCCAAAATGATAGTCAAACCAGGACTAAGACAACAATCACTTAAATACATCAAATAAATGATGTATTTAGAGTAAGAAAATAGTAATTGATCTATATATATAGAACCCGTTTGGTGTAACTGTTAAAACAGATTATAAATTATAGCTTAACAGATTATAAATTATGACTTTAATTAGAATCTGTTAATCTATTTGATGTAGCGGTTGGATTATAAATTTAAGTTGCTGAGTCGTGTTTTTTAAATAAGTGGTGAAATAACTTTGTCAATTAATTTTTATTTTTTTTTTCACTACTTGTTTACATTTCTCATAAAAAAAAAAAATTAATAATCTATAGTCTATTTGGATCATTTTCTATTTTTAAAAAAATAAAAATAAAAAAAAATCTAAGAGTATAACAGTAAATTAACATGTCTACAACAGAATCTGATAATCAGAAGCAAAGGGTGAACAACTTTTCATAATCAGTTTTTTTGAGTTAAAATAAGTTGTTAGAATCAGAAACTGTTTAAAATAAAGTTAACCAAACAGTCCAAAATAGTTTTTCGAAAGTTAGAAGTTATAAGTTGACTCAAAAAAATCCAAACAAACATCCCCATAGACTAGTTAATTGTCCCAAACTCAAGGCTTTTTATATTATTAGATTTTATTAATATATGCTCTTAGGATATCTATATATTATATGAGGAAAATGTGGTTTTTAACCACAAGTTTTGTGAAAACTTTAATATTTCAATCTTAATTTTTTAATTTTTTGATTTAAAAAAAAAAATCAGCACTGATTGACTTCTCCTAAGTTTTTTTAACTTCTCCCATACACACCCTTTTTAACTTCTCCCATACCTATTTAATTATTTTCCAATATCTCAATCTTAATTTTTTGATTTTTTTTTTAAAAAAAAAAAAAACTCAACACTTATTGACTTCTCCTAAATCTTTTTAATTTCTCCCATGCACACCCTTTTTAACTTCTCTCATACCTATTTAATTATTTTTGAAATAATAATTATCCCTTAATTTATGGATTTTGTCACGACCCGCTCCCCGTACCCAAGGGTTAAGTATCGTGATGGCCAGTAACTGAGGTTACCTACGGCCAATTCTTAAACAAATCAATAAACGCAAGCGGAAGAAATATTTAAGTAAGGGTACCAAAATAGTTATTGGAGCTTCTATTTTTATTACAAAATATATTAACCCAAAAATGCCGATATTTGCATATAAAAATATCATAAAAATACTGTGTGTGTCTATTCCGCAACCCGACTTTTCAAAAAGCTATTTCTGAAATGAATTGATTCTTGAAAATTGGTAAACAAC